CAGAACGGGCGTGTCCGCGCACCAGGCACGTTCCCCCTTGTGTTCGTGCTGTGGTTCAGTGAGGAGCCCGTGTCGGTGCAGAGTGGCCCGGCCTTCCTGCACAGGCCGCTGCGCCTGGCCGCGGGGCCGGCCGTCCGCGCGAGCGCCGCGCCCGATCACGGGCGGCGAGGGGGGGGGGGCCAGCCAGAGAGTCGGCTGGCGCACACGGAGGCGACCCAGGAGAGGAGTGAGCGCAAGCGGGCGCGCTTGGCGGCACACGAGAAATGAAAGCGCGTGCAGGGAGGGCCCAAGGGCGGCGCCCCCGGCACCAAAGGCGCCTGGTGTGAGCGGAGGCGGAGCGGCGGTGCCACCCGAGGGCAAGGCGCCGCCTGGCGGGGGACCCACCGTGGTGCGCCCCTGAAGCCAGCGCCGCATTATCACGGGGCATCACTGCACCCCCGGCGGCGCCGCAGCCGAACGCGGTGGGATCGTTTGAGAATCACACGTACGGATTATTGTTCGATGGCGGTTCCTCCAAAAGCGTGCCGCTGCGCCCGCCAGCCGTGAACGGCTACAGAACGGAGGGCGAGGACGAGGACGAGGCAGAATCGAGAGCCTACTTGCTGCAGCCACGCGGCAGGATAAAGAACTGCGCGGCCCGTGCCAGTTCGAAGAGATCGCAGCGAGGACTACAGCGAAGAGCCCCACCAAAGGAGCCAAGGCACGCGAGGAGCACACAGAGGACTTGTAGATGTTGCATGGAACGTATGCGGGCAAAGCTCTACTGATGTGCCTCCGTTGGAGGACCCGAACATGTCGTAGTACAAGCAGGTTGTAGCAAATCGTCTCCCAAGCGTTCTGGCCAGAAAGCGCCCGCCACCGAGCATATACTGTAAGATGTTTCAGCGCGCGCGTCGCCCCGGGGGCACGGGCGAGCACATAGTATTGGTACGTTCGGGGGATTCCAATGGTGTGGCGTTCGTTCCAGCCGACGCCTCGACTACAAAAAATGACCAGCTAAAAGAGAAAAACAACAGCTTCTCAGAGCTTCGCGCGTGGCACGGTTCTGGGATCACACTACTAGAACGGATGAACGTGGGACCAAGACGGGGGCTCAAGATGTACTTGCGTAGCTCATGAGAAGGGGACAGACGAAAGAAGTTGCAAATCACTGCCGGAACGACACAACGACTTCCACGACTGCGAATTTATTTTGCGACGGGCGTCGGCAGACCCCTTCAAGCCTCAGTGCAGTGAGCCTATTGAATCCACTTCACCGACTCCAGCACGCACTCCCAACCCACTGTAGGCTGTGACTCCAACGATACCTCGAAGGGCATCCAGCGCAGGACTAGCTCGGACAGGGATGGCAAACAATCAGAGCCAAGCTGACGCGAACCACGGCAAGCACCCTCAGTAGCTGATCGAGATGACGCACAACAACACCAGCGTCTACCTCGCAGAACAGCAGACCCCAGTTCGAGAGCAAGGTCGGCAGCTAGACCCACCCAACGTCCACGTTGCAAGAACAGTACTCGAGGAAGTGAACGGAAGTAAAGGGAAGAAAGATCAGGACGAGGAGATCAAGCAGGAGAGTTTCAGCAAGAACAGGGGCAAGCACACGTGGGTCGGAAAAGTATCTAAAAACATGAAGTAAGAAAGCGAATAAAGTAGGTTGGGTCCAGGCCCTCCCAGAAACACCAAAAGCATATACATATAAATGCACATAAATACATAGATACTCTTGAAATATCAAGGCGCTAGAAGTAGATTGGGATCTGGAAATCCAAACATACCGACTTTCAACGACCGACGGGTACGAATTTCGTGGACGGTGCAGCAACAAACAGATGGGCAGCGACGAACACCGCAGCAAGTTCTCGCAGCGCAGCCTGGCAGCAACGGAAGGAAACTTCGAGGACGCGACGAAGCAGACCGACACGGCCATGGAGGGGCTGACGGCGCAGAGGCAGGTGCTTGAGACCAGACTTTTATTTCAGACAACCAGATGCCAACCGGATGCCAAAGTTCCGGACTGCGAGCCAGCTTCCTCAAAAGGCGTATGCTTGAGGTGATCCAACTGCGCTGGGAAAAAGGTGCTTCAGACCAGCCTGGTGCGTATTAAGGCCGAAAGCTCCGGAGATAACTGCAAGATGCAAGCGACAGAGAGCACTGTCGAGATGGAAGCGCGGCCGAACAAGCACGACATCAGCATCGGGAAGGTGATCAACGTGCAGGCGAGACTTCGCCACAACACAACGAACATCGTCGGTACCTCCGACACAAACAAGAACTACGACCACCAGCAGATCGACGAGCTCACCAGCTAAGACGTAATCAAGGACCACAAGCAGGACACCTGCCCAGGTTGGCTGCCATAGTGGCATGCAAGAGACCCTGCCACGTAGGTACAACACGGATGGAAGCAGCTCGACGACGAGAAATGAAACGGGTACGCGGTAGAGGCGACGCACAAGAACAAAGGACAGACGGAGAGCATCCGAAGGGACCCGAGCAACCA